GAAACTTTTGTAGCGGTGATGTATTATGCATAACCCGCAAACTCGTTTCAAGCACTTGTTGGGTTGTGGGCTTAGGCGCTTCAAGATTTCGAATTCAGAGTTAAAGAATTCGCGTGTTTCAGGCGTAGATCTATTGATTAGGGGATGGGGGTTGGGCCTTGGATTGGAAAGTTGAGGAGGCTCTTCTGAAGATGGGAGAAGAGGCTGCTGTAGAGTCCCTGCAGAAATTATGTGTAAGATTCCTTTCTTCACGCCCTTGGGCACCAAAAACTAAATAACACGGTTCCGGGTTCGACTAGGGGAGTTGCAATGCGTTGTGGGTCGTCAGGCTATTCTTGAAAATTTCTCAAGATGCAGCAAGCTTACCATTGGTCAGTTCTTGCCGAATCTAGAATTATAAGCCATTGCACCAGCATCCAGGGGCAAAGGTCACGGCCACGCGGTGTTCTTATGACATGCAAGTTACCAAGCTCAATGAAAGGAGCGTGCAGATCTGTGGTAGGATGCAGTCTCATGAAGTGTTCCGCGCCCTAGTAATGGTCTTACAGCAGGAAGATTGACTTCTAGGGGGCCAGGGTTTGTTTTGTGGGGAGATGCAGTACTAGTGTGAAAGCAGAATTCCCAGTGATTTTGGGGGGTCCTATGCTGGAGGGACAAGCAGGAGCATCTTGGGTAAAAGACAGGCTTCCACGATCCAAGCTTTTGGTTGAGCACAGTTGAGATTCAAAAGTCCCAGTTTTTAAGCCATCCATGCCGAGGACCTTGTCCTTCAGTTTTCTTGAGCGGGAAGTGCAACCCAGGCTACGCGATCTTGCGCGCCCTGTGGGATGCGGAGAAGAGTTCGGGCTACGAGGGTTTTCTGACCGTGGACCAGATTTGCCGCCGAGCACAGCCATATTGCAAGGAGCAGATGGGCCCCTTGTTTTCCCAACAGTAGTCAGGGGATTTTACTTACTTCAACCCTAATAGTCATATGCTAGGGTCCTTATTATTGTGTAGGGGCTGGCGTAACAAAAGCCGCCAATGAAACTTAAGTTTTTGCATCAGTGGCTTCAAGAGGTTCAAGTAGATACGCAGAGGACCCTGGATAGTACAGACCCTCTAAGACGCCCTAAGCCTCCTCATATAATTCCCTCTAGGGCGTCCTTTGTTCAGGGGGTTGTCTTGGATTTTTTCTTTAGGAGAGTGTGGGGAATGGAAGTTTTCACTGAGGGGGCATGGCTGCGAAGCCTTGATAAGCTGCATGTGCGCTTAGGGAAAAATGTGCTGAGACTTTCGTTTCCCATTCTTGTTCCACTATTAGGACCCTACGGAACCCACAGTTTTGGGTAGGCCGTGTAGACAACCCGATGCAATAGAAACAAAAGTCAGGCTCTGGCTTCTGGGGAGGGCGCGATCGTGGGCACGGATGGGACTCCAACCGATGCCTCCTGAACTACGGGCTTATCCAGAAGGACTCGCAGCGGTCATGGAACAACGGCTACAAGGGTCCCAAAGATCGCATCCGCTTGACCGAGGAAGGCGGGGTCCCTCAAATTAAGACATATACCTGTTTGGGGTCGTGCTGATGCGGGATGTGTAGGCGGCCTGGATTTTGAGCAATACCGAGGTCGCGCATTTGTGCCCAAGATGCTCGAAAAGTTCGGTGATGCGGACGATTGCATTCCGCTGTCCCTGACACCCAGCCAGCCTACGCAGCTCAGCCAACTGAGCCAGCTGTCAGATGTCCCAAGCCCAGCCAGCCAGGGAGAACCCCTTACACCAAGGACTCCCAGGATGCTCGGCATTCCTGGTACCCCCAGGACACCCCCGCCTAAGCGCAGGTCATTTCTTTCAAGCCAGGATTTGCTTACCCCGACTCCAAAGAAGCGCCCAAGAAAGCAGCGCATGTCCTTGAGCCAGAGTTCGCTGGAAGATGCACTTCAGAAAGGCTCGCAGCAGCCCGCGACGTCGTTTAGCCAGAAATCTCTGGAGGACGTGCTGCCGAAAAGCTCGCATCAGCGTCCTGTGGGGCTGGCAACCGGTCAAACCACGCCATCCTTGAGACAGAGATCTTTAGAGGATGTATTGGCAAAGAGTTCGCAAAAGCATCTTGCGGAGGACGCAAAGGAACCTGCCCCACCTTTCAGCCAGAGATCGGTGGATGACATGTTAATGCAGAGCTCCCAGGAGCCTGCAGCCGAAAACAAGGTGGGGCACCCAATGTTGCGGCTGTCGATGTTGCTTGTGCTATCCTGCATTACAAGGTTAACATCGTTTATATGGCCATGGCCGCATTAGCAAACATGATTGTTACTAAGGACTAAGCCGTATCAGCAAGCATGCTGAACCGTGAATTCCGGCCACTGCCGACAGAATGTTTATCTTTCGTTTCTCTAAACGTCAACGGCAAGAGATTGCTTTCCTTCGTACAGTTGCTTGGGGAGTCGAAGGAGGGGCTGGGATTCAAGAGCTGCCCCTGAAGGCGTTTCGTGTCTGGACGTGACCCAGCACTGTCGATTTTGTTATCTAGCACTGCGTGGACAATTGTCCGAAGGCACCAGTTGAACCCCTAGCGCCCAAAGTCTTAAGACCTAAACCGAACCCCAAAACCCTAAGGGAAGTCTTTTGCACTTAAAGGTCGAAACCATCGGCCCCTGGTATGGGCCCTTTACCCTGGGATCCTTATGCCTACTATTGGGGCCCATACTTCTAACCTTGGAGGCAACTGATGATCCGCTTCGGGTGGTGTCGCTGGACAGTTCGGACGAGGAAGCTTAGGGCTTGGACCTACAAGTTCGGGTTCCGGCGGTTTGGACGTTTTGCTTTGTTTTCGGAGGGAGTCGCTGTGTATATGTATATATATATATATTAAGAACTATGTTGCGCAGGGACCTACACTGTCCATTCTAGGCATTACTCAACCATTAGGCAGTGGTTTACTTCCCTGTGCAGTTCGAATACCCCTAAGGTACAAGTACCCAACAATCATATATTTTCCCGGAACTTGTACTACCATTGCCAATACAAAATCCCGACTACCCAAGGAATGGACCCGGAATACGGTAAGCCATTATACTTTTAATCAAGCTGTTCCCTGGACAGGAGGGTGACAAGGAGGACTTGCCTGGAGACAGCTTGATCACAGAGGAGCTCAGGGACCTGACAGTGTTACAGGTTTAGGGTCAAGTGGGTTTAGATTGTAGGGTTTATGGCAAGTGGGATTTCGGTTAAGGCTTCAGGGGGTTTAGGACTTTGATGTCTTACGGGCTAGGAATTTGGGCTAGGAATTTGGGCTCCGCACTAGCAGTACGGAAGGAAGCACCACGAAACCCCCACAAGAAAGACTTTGCCTGGTAGTTAACGTCTTGGTATTACCCAGAGTTATTTTATACCTTTGGAGTTATGGTAGTCTAGTATACCAAGAAGGTCCCTAAACCTTAAACCGCAGGCTTC